GTATGTATATTAAAGTAGCTAAGATTTTACTTGCCTGGGCAGCAGGTTTAGAAGTTAGTGAATGGAATCCACTATATCATACAACTATCCCATTGAACTCAGCTGGCAGCGAAGCAATCTTTGTGAAACTTGTGCAAGTTCCATCTAGAATGTGCAGACAGAAGAACTGTACAGATTGTTTAACAGTATCATCAATTTACCTATGTGAACTCAGCTCCTACAACAGCTAGCTCCCTGAGATTTGGTGCATACGTTATTAATTCTATGTATAAGTTAAATAAGTTCAAACCGGCTCATTGCTTACACTCTAACATGATAAAAATCAATCAGATCGTTAGAATCGGTCAGATTGAAAGGGAATGAATTTCTGTCCGTCTCACAGAATATAAATGAGAAACTATTAGCGTAACATTTGAGACAGTAATTCTCACAAGTTTATTAACTGACTCAGCATTTGCTGTAGCTGTATCTATACGCGTAGATCTGAACATCTGTAGATCGTTCTTTATGTTTTATCTTCAACTTGATCTGCATCTCAATTCCCATGTTTTGCTGCTGCCGATTCACCTAATTTGCTAACTCAGCGTAAAAGGGAAGAAACAAAAGCGAATCCCACAAATTGTAAAGCGCCAGACTTGGTTTCAGTTTCAGTGCATATATCCACAAACATACATATGTATATATGTATCTATACATGTATATATGTATGTTTTCGAAGCATTTTTGGACTGTTGACAACGAGCCCATAAACAAGCTCGTAAAAATTCCACCGAGTGCAGAAAACAAGCACATCGAATTCAATTAGAGACTGTTGCATACCAAATGCCCTTACATCCAGAATATAGATCAAAGATATGATTTATAAAACTTTCAACTGGATATCAAATTAAGTAGCTCTTCCAAGTTTCATCGATGTGCATATACTGAAAAAATGAGTTCACTGAGGTGTGAGCTAGTCGTATAATATAGTAGGCCTATTCTCCCAGTTTTTACTTATGTTATATCTACAATAAGGAGACAAGATTGTATCAAATCTATTAATGTTTGGTCTATTGAGAGCTGAGTTCAGTGAGGTAGCTATATGATATTGCAAGACAAGGCAGGGTCTTGAAATAAAACAGCTGAGTTCGCATATGTGATTCAAATGAGACACTCTAATCGATTGATCATGAAACATATATGTTTCATATAAATCCTTAATTTCTTTCTCTTTAGTTCTCACTAAGCATCACAAGTTTCCCATAAGTCACTCTATTATATAGCGATGCGTGCATATTGCTTCTCCAAATCAATATACCCTACAAGCACTCAAACACACACTTGAGGAACACTTTACACAAATCAAGCAGCAGCTCCACTTATCCAACTTTAACCCAGCTCCTTCGAGCGTAACGTGGCGCACGCGCTCGATCACCCCTCCCTCTTCCACTCTCTCTGTTCCTCTATCTCTCTCTCTCACTCTTGTCCCTCTTTTGGATGCTATTCAGGAATTTGCGCAGGCGAACGGCAGCTGTAGCCCAAAAAAGGGCAGCGACTTCATCTTCCTCCACTGCTTATCGAGTAGGCAGAGGCGTTTGGTCCGGCAGGCGGGTGGGCGTGGCAACGGGTTCTTGTTCACCAAGCTAGCCGAATCAGATGCGACGGCGGCGGCGGCGACTGGGACTGTGGCCTGCGCTCGGTTCCCACCAGATGAGCGCCTGCCAACGCTAATGTACGAGTGCCTGGCCAAATATTAGCTAAGGGATACCCTGTAAATTGCAATTGACTGCGTTTTGAACAAATAATATTCGCCAGGAAAAGCATTTAGACAAGCGTGGTATTCCATCTATCTTTTCCAATTCTATCGTTAAAATACTGATAATCACCTAGAACAGCACAATAGTAGATTTTTCTGCATACCCTGTGAATTATATAAGTTATATTTACTTAATTTTACTGCTGATCTAAAAGTCAAAGGTATATTGTGAATCGCATAGAGAGGCTATAAAGTTCCAATGCACCGCTCTACGCGCTTTTCAGTCACTTGTTCTTATCCCTTTGCATATTCCGTGCTACGGAAGCATCTTCGAGAACCCTTGTTCCATTAAAAGCCCCCCAACGACCTCTTTTTCCCTCTCTTTCTTTCGCATTTCTCTTCCAAGCGATTCAATGTCAAGTTCGTGTTTGTGGTTTATTCAGCTTCATCTCAGTGTGAGCTCATTCGAGGCGCTTTTCGGAGGGTACTGCCACGCCCCAAGAATGACGCCATAGGTGGGCGTTTCTCTTCCCCTTTCTTTGGGATAATTGTTTTTGTTGTCGCCAAAAAGTTAATGCGAGATGTTTATCTCGCTGTCAAGGACAAATGCACACACACACGCACCTCCACACACACAGAGGTAATCGAGTGTGAGAATGTGTGAGAGTCACATTTATGACTCAACCAAACTCATTTGAAAAGGAAGCAAAGGAAGATTCGCTGCCGGGTATAATCGACTGCGCAACACCCTGCTCACAATTCTTCTGACTCTCGCTCTAATTGTGATTCACACTTAAGTGGGAACTGACAAACTGTGACTACAGAATGCGTACCAATAGTCGCAATAAAAGAGGGAGAGAGAGAGAAAGATAATTGATCATTCGACCAACTGATAAGGTGATTCAACTTACCCCAATTTACTTGAAAAGTTGACGACAAAAATTTGGCCTCTGGGACAACTTTTAATGTGAGCTCAAATTTGAAGTGAAACTAGCTTGAAGGATAGTTGGTTATACGATATTTAGTATACATATATCTATATATACATTATATATCCATAGATAATAATTAAAATATTACCTAGTAGTTAGTTTTACCACATAAATAGTTCAAACTCTGCTAATTGAATTGAACTTTTTTTTTCTTTTAGATGTCTATTTTTATATAATTTTATATATACTTTATAACTCCAATAATTTCAAACTTTTCTTATATATTTTTTTCCATATTTGGTTTGCAATCAAATTTGTTGCTCTGCCAATCAGAATTAATTTTTTTATATATCCTCTCTCTTTCTCTCTTCTACATTTTAATTGCAGCGCCCAGCAAAATGCTTGCAAAAAAAAAAAACAAATACAAGTCGGCATTGTAAAACGGGCATAGCCAACTGTTTAATACTCGCTTCGATTTTTTCAAGCTTCAACCGTTTTCAGTTTGTCACATGTGATCTAACGGTAAGCCTTGACAATGATTACTATATATAGCATTAATGCCCAATTAACGCTCCACACTTTAATAGACGAGGGCCAAACAAATTAACAAAAATCATGGTGAGAGACAAATCTGGCACAATGCCAATATGCCCTATATTTGCCTACTCCAAGGAGTAGGCATGTTTTGTTTATTATAAGCAGAGCGCTTTTTACGCTCTTTACGCTCTCTTTTCGTTAAGTTAAGCGGCAGCACCGTTAGAGGCAGCGCAGTCGGCGTTACCGTTTTGCAGCGCACGCTTTGCTCGTTTTTTTTGGTGGTTGCAGAAAAAAAACCATTTAGTTAAATTAACATGCTTTAAACTAATTAAAAGCACGCAATGCAAATAAAATATAAATAAAGCTTATCTCAGCTGCTAGCAACAATAACACCTTTTTTATAGTTTTATTCACTATTTGAAGTCAGGCGACGCCTACGACAGCCAAGGGCTGCGGCAGCGGCAGCTCTGCCCACAGGAGCAGCCACCGGCTGCTGCACAGACACAAACAAACGAATTCACTCACACATACACCAAACTGTTCTTATTGATTTTTCACACACACATACAAAAGGGAGCTAGCGAAACGCGAATTAGCACAAAAGGCATTAGATAAATGTGCATAGAAGCCGCACCAACAGCATTAATAGTAACAACCGTTATTGCGATTGTTGTTGCCCAAAATGAAAAACAACAACAACAAAACACTTACTGCACTTCCTGCCTCTCCCTCTAGCGCTTACACGAGCTCTCTTTCTTTCTCCCTCTCTTGCTCGCTCCGCTTTGGTCGTGACTCCTGCTCCTTTTTACAGCTGCACACGATTTTTTTTTATTTTAGTACACACCCTTTTTGCACACACACCAAATTTAACATGCAAAAAATTAAAAAAAAAATGAGACACTTTTATTTGCATACACTTGTAACTAGCATTTATTTCATTTAGATTTATTTAGAATGATTTTCATTTAGAACGCGCGCAAATTAATTCGAAACAAAATATTCGCAACGCGCTCGCCGGGATGCTCAACACACGACCGTATTCAACGAGTTGCTAATTCGTAATAACAGTGGACATAACAGCTGTTCCAGCGGTTTCGTTCTTTCAGTTAGCAGCCCGCCAAATGTTGCTTAGCGCAGCAACAATACCAATGTTAACTTAACATAGCTGGCTCCACACCTAAATGGAATACGTTGGCAGGCCTTTTAAAATATTCTTACTGGCTGCATGCAAATGTTGCTAAACGCACAAATGCCAATGTTCACTTTACGTTGTTCGCTCCACACTAACGTTACTTATGTTAAAAATAATCAAATTGGCTGCCAATTATATTATCGCTTTAATCAACCTGAAAAATTAATTTGAAAACTATTTTACACATTATATAAATAATAAAATTGTAATCCTATTGCACCCTAATTTGCTAATTTGCATTTTTTAATAATACTTTACATATGAATAACGATAAATATTAGTTAACTTTAACTTTGATTGGCATCAACTACGGAAACTTCATTTCAGCACATTGTATTCAACTGTATTTACTACCAACAAAATAATTCTTAATTAAATTTTAAAAGTAAACCGCGCACGAATGACGTAATGATTACATTATCTGAACAGCTCAACGTAAAAACGTAAACGCAATCTGAGGCATGTAAACGCAAAACTAACGCATAAGTGCGCAACGCAAACGGTAGAATTACAATACATTTTATCGATATAGCAACCCTTCAAAAACACATATAAGATACATTTTTTTGTCAGCAGCAGATTTTTTTGTGTGGTAAATAATTTCATAGATTTATTGTGCATACGTATATCAAAATGTCAACAAAACTCTAATACGTTTGCGTACAAGTGTACGCATTAAGTAAACAATATGAATACATGAAACAACAATTGACATAACTTGAGTAAAAGCAAGAAAAATTTTGTGTACCATACAAAAAAAAAGGAAAAAGTGGCGACGTTTTTGCTGCTGCGTATGGAATGAAGAAGAAGAGCAAACAGCGCATTGAAAAATATACGGAGAAGCGAATACCGAGTGCGCTTTGTTATACACGCCATAAATACACATATTTATAGCAAGTGCATATTTTGTTTTGTTTAATTCTAATTGCAGCTGGCGAGGCAAGCAAATGCATTAACTGAAAAACTAAACGCAAAATAACTGTAAAGCAATTTCGTGTCGTGACGTGCTGTGTAAGTTAAACAATTGATTTATTGGTCAAAAAAAAAAAAAAAACAGCAGCAGGCATATAACAATTTTACAATTGCTGTTATATGGACGCCGCTGTTATACACAACAAAAACACTGTAGCACAGAATTGGAGCGGCTCTGATTTTCAAGAATTATACTGCATGAGTGTGTGTGTGTGTATTGAACAGGTTTTTATTCGCTTTTATTTGGTGCGTTGTTGTTTTTATTTTTGCGCAGCCTTTGATGCGCTTTGTCCGCATGCACATATCTATCTCAGTAGCTGTAACTGTGGGCGAGTGTGTGTGTGTATATTGCAGCCCTGAAGGTCAGCGCTGCTTTCTCCTGTTGTCTTTCGGCTGCTGTGCAAACTAATTACGGTTCCCTTCTCTTGCTCTTTTTATGCAGCCAGCCACTTGAAAGAGCAAAAAAGTAATTATCATTTTGCGCAAATGTGAATGCACTTACACACACTTGAACTAGCTAGCATGCTGCGTTGTAGTTGTGTTTAGTGCGCAGGTAACTTTGCGTTTGCCTACCCCCTGCCGCAGGCGTGTGTCAGCTGCCCGCTGTCCATTGTTCCTTTTCTTTCGTTCAACCACCCACACGCAGTCTGCATGCAGAGTTGCATGCGATAATTTGAATAAGTCGAATTTTATGCTGAGATGACATTTGCTACTCTGCTAAGCACAAGAAAAATTCAGGATATTTGCTTGGAGCAAAGCCTCTCTACCGGTATAACACTTGTCATTATGCTCAATATTAAATCATCCATAGAAGCCTGAAGTTTACAATATTTGAAAATACTGAAGAATATGCATGACTGGCTCTATTTTGCAAAATATAAAGGAACGAATTCTTAAACATAGCAAAAATTAGCGCATATTTTGGAAATCTTTATATACCATTATAGAACATTTTTAAATTAATTCAGCTACAAGTGTTCATCCATGATCTTCCAATGAGCTGCACGCTCAGCTATAACATATCGATATAGCATTTGCACCATCGACAGAAATGCTTTACACTTTTCATTATAGATCCTTAAGAATTTGCTATCGCCACGCCCTGTCCACAACAGGCTGCAGCAGCCGACGCCCATGCGCCCCAACTCTAACTCCCCTTCCCACCTTCCTATTTCCATCTCCAACTTCGAATGCCGCAGTTTGCTTAGCGTCCCAGCTCCCCTCCCAGAGTTCCTTAGGTGCCCGTGCTCTATTTTAACAGCATACTTGGCACAGTCTGCAACGAAGACAAACGAAGAAGACACACACTAACACAGGCACACGCACACGCACAGTCAGACAGACAGTCGGATTAACATTGTTCGTGGAGATAAACAGCAGGCGAAACCGAAACAGAAACAAGTTAACGCAAGAACCATTGAGAGAGAGCAAACGAGGCGGGCGATAGAGAGCGCTGTCAGCCAGTTGGTAGCGCGTTGCCTTTGCGTGCGGACGTGTGTGCGCGCATAGAGTAAAGCAAAGGAAAGAATAATACAAGAGGAAGAAGAGCAAAAGAGCAGCGAAAATTTATTTAAACTAGATGCAACGTAAATGAAAGCTTTTGACTAGGTTTTTTTTCTTGCGTGTGTTTGTTGCTTACTTTTTTTTTTACTGTTGTATTTGCCTGTTGCAACATGTGGAAAAGTGTTTAAACGTGTTTGTTTATTGTTCTTCATATTGCAGTGCGTAAATTGTTGTAGTTGTTAGTCAGAGCGTGAGAGGGAGAGAGCCGCGTGTGAGAGAGAAAGACAGCATACGACGATGGAGGATCGCATGATGGCCCACACCGGGGGCATGATGGCACCGCAAGGCTACGGCCTGCCTGGCCAAGATGATGGCCAAAACGCGGGCAACGAGAATGAGGTGCGCAAGCAGAAGGACATCGGCGAAATCCTACAACAGATCATGAGCATCTCGGAGCAGTCGCTGGACGAGGCGCAGGCCAGGAAGCACACACTCAACTGTCATCGCATGAAGCCGGCTTTGTTCTCCGTTCTATGCGAGATCAAGGAGAAGACAGGTGAGTTCCATGGCCGATATACCCTAGAGTAGACTATGCTAGGCTTATCTATCAACAAAAATGTGCACGAAAGTGAGGAATGATATACTCCAGTAGAAGTCATTTAAAACTATGTACTAGGTATACTGGTATGTCTGTAAATCTTTTTTCAAATACGAAATACAATATTTATTTAGAATGGGTTCTTAAAAAATTAAGAGTGATCAGATTTTACCATAAAGATAATACATAGAGACCATATCTATGTACTATACAAGAGAGTAGAAGATGGAGTCTGATGTGTTTTTTGTATACACGTAAAGCTATGTATAGAATATAGCGATATTATATGATATACAAATATGCATAGTTGATTTGATGTTATGGATGTTTAAGGAAATTTCATCCGAATAGTAGTAGCTGTTGTATAATCTCTATATATATAATATATCTATAGAAATATATAATCAATCTATAGAAAAATATTATTGCTGCTTGGCAATATTGTGGGGTTCTTTAATCTCCTTCTCAAAAATACAAGTTAAAAGATTTAGTAAAACACGTTACTTATATAAAAGGGATACAGTAAGAGCATTTCTCTGCACCTTTTATTTATAAATTACATGAAATATACCCATATAGAATGTAAATCCTTTAGATATGCATGTATATTTCATGTAGCGCTCTTCTACGCGCTTCTCATTAATTTGCTGATTTCTAGCTGTAAGCAATAAAACGAGAACTAAAATTCAATATGCGTATTCCCCATCCCAATTCCCGTTCCCATTCCCATTTTTTATGCATTATTATACTTGCACGCACCTTGTACAAGAAATTTTCAAATCGAGTTTTCCCGTCGTTTCATTTCTTGTTTTTCTTTACTTTACTTTTTTCGCCCTTCTTGTTGTTGTTGTTGTTTGTCCTTCATATTACGCCCACGCAGCGACACGAAATGGGCAATAAGAGCGCGTTTTGATTGTGAGCCCAGATGTTTTGAATGGCTCCAATGTTGCCCCATTGCCAGCAGCCTAACCCTAAACCCCCAACCCCTAGCCCACCACAGCGCACAGCCCACAGCCCACAGCCCATGCCAACCCTCACAGATATACGTATCTCTGTGCTTCTACCCAACCCTCAGAAAACTGCGCACCGTTGCGAAATTGCCTTTTGGGCAAGCTTCTTGGGGCTTGGCTAACACCATTTTTACGGGGAGGGCTTTGCGGCAGACAGAGAGAGGGCGAGAGAGAGAGAGACATTGACTCGAATGAAAAAATCCCCTTGGAAAACACATTCTTATGTCCTTCAGCTCGGAAAACTCTCTCGATTTTTTTTATTTTTGATATTGAAGTTTTGATTATATTTGTGGCGGGACGAAAAAAGTAATTATTGGCTTGTTGAATGGACTTTTCATCTTCTTTTTATAGATCAATTTTGTTGGTTTTGTGGGAAATATTAATGATTGTTTAAGGAGCTTGAAGAGAAATTGTGATGGTTAGGAGAAAAAGTGGAAGTTCCTGAGGAAAATATTGGGGAAGCTGCAGAGACATAGCTAGAAAATGGAGGCAGAGAGAGAGAGAGAGAGAGAGAGAGCGGTAAAGTGAAATGAATTAATACATAACCTAATATACCCCACTAAGTCGACGGGCTTGCTCCACTACAGGGTATATATGATTGTTGAAGCACCTATTTCCGAATGTTATTTGCTGCCGCATGAGAAATTGGAGAAAAGGGTTTCGTTGCTCATTGTGGCTCTGGTCACACCTTTACCTTCACCGTTACGATCAGGTGACTAATATAATCAAATGTCTAGGGGGTGTCGGAGAGGGCCCTTGGAAGGGTGCCTAGCCGAGTGGGGCTCTAGACTGCAGCCAATTGCCAAGGTAAAGTCGACGCACAAGCAAAAATGAAATCAGTTTAGGCATATATATATACATAGGTATATATTATATATATATATATATTTACAGTAATTTCTGTGTTTTTATCTAGCTGTGTGTGCGATAACACTTCCCAGGGCTCAGTGCGTATCGATGGCGGGCGCCGACAAAGTAAACAAGAATACAAGTTGCCAAGAAGACGAAAACACTTGACCCAAGTCCCAGCAAAGGGGCATTGTAAGAGGAAGAGAGAGGGAGCGAGAGAGAGAGAGTGGGAATGATGGTGTGTTGGGGGAAGTATTGAGGGTATAAGTAGGGTATAGCTGCTCGTTGTTGAATGGAAACAAGTATTCTCAGAGTAATGAAGAGAATATGGAACAATGAAGAAGCGTTAGAAAATGAAAAACTTGGCAAGTTCATATAACTGTATTGCATATGACTGTGACTCTTTATAAGCCAACTTTATTATATGATAAGTCTATACATTTCATTTTAACGTAATTGAAAATCAAATACTACCAAATTTAATTCTGAGTTAATTTGACTCAAAGCTGAGTTCACATAGTTATCTAGATGATATGGTAAAACGATTTTAACAGTTCTGGCTGAGCTGAGTTTTGGAAATGAGCTGTACATGAAAATGAAGCATCTGTAAAAAGTTTCATAAAGATCGCTTTGCTGGCAGCTGAGTTCAGTGGGATAGTTGTATGATATACGGTGCCCATTCAGCCGGTACTATTAAAATCAGTGCCAAATTTCATAAAAGTCACTGCAATCAGAGCTGTGTTCACATAGGCAAACCAAAGGTTATACCAAATCTGAAAGACTTATGGCTCACATATACGTAGTTTTATGTGTGGTAGTGCGCATGTGAGTTGAACGAATCGCAATACCCGCTTGCGAGAGGGCATTCGAAATAAGTAGATAGAAAACACTTCAGTGTTTGGCTTTGATTGTAGCGCGCTCTGTCGCCCTGTTGTGCCTTGTTTAATATATATTATCAGCTTGTACGCGCGTGTGTGTGTGTGTGTGTGTGTGTGTGTGAGTGAATGGGTGTGTGAGTGTGCTGCTTAAAATTAGTTTTTGAAAAGCGCAAAAACCTGTTCGACAGCCATGCAAAAATACCACGCACACGTTTTCAGCGACTTGAATCGTGTTTATATATACATATATATATATAATATATATAAATATATACATCTGTATATATACTTGCATCTGAGGAGTACAACAGGCCCCGCGACATGTTTATTTATATGAAACAGTCAGCCGCTGGCACCGACTCCTGCTCCTACTCCAACTCCTGCTCCTGCTCCTGCTGCTGCTTCAGTTTCATCCTGCTTCGTTTTCGTCCTTTTTGCGTTTTTGGCCCATTCAAATTTACGAGCTGGAAATGCCATTCGAAACCTCCGCCCGCTCTAGCCTCGTTCAAATACGCCACTCGCCACGCCCACCGATTCTGAGCTCTGCTCTAAGGTAACAGCTCTATCTATCTATGTAGCCATCTGCAATTTAGCTGGCTGCTTTCAAAATGCTTCATTAGATACGCAAATTCCCTTCATGTAACTACCTCCCTCCATCCCGCTATCTCTCTCTCTCTCTCTCTCTCTCTCTGAGACGGTTTAAACAAAAGGGTTGTCCTTTCCTGATGATGAAGAAGAAGACAAAATGTGAAGCAGTTGAGAAATTTAAAATAGAAAGCAGCTCAAAACTAACTCAAGAGATTTATTAAAGAAAATTCTAGTTTAATTTGAAGAAGAAAAGGCATGGAAAAAGGAGTGAAAAAGAAGAGGGGAATGAGGCAGAATAGAGCGGAGGAAGCGTCCAACAGAGAGATCACATACGAAAGAGAGAGAGAGATGATATGACGACACAAATGATAAAGGCAGATGAAAGATGAAAGACCAAGAACTAGTTCTTGGTGTTCTCGTATCTATATATATACATACTAAGATCTTTTTAATTCCAAATGATGAACAAGTTCATGCCGCTCGTTCATTTTATAAACTAGTTCACTTGAGTTCGCTTAGGTGGGCTTTGATTCAGCCTTTTAAATGAATTGAACCAAATAGAGCTGATTACGGAATCGCTCAAGATTCACAGAGTATTATCTCGCATATCTCTTGCCTCTATCTGGAGCACTATTGAAACTACCCAAGTCTAAAAATAAAATGGTGATTCTTCGCTTATCATCGTACTCCACAAGTTTCTATCGGCTCTGGTATGGTATATAGTAATTCCGGTAAAACTTTGGACTGTGTTAAAAATCCTGTTGAATGATTTACGAACTGGAGATAAGAACTTTGTCTAGACTCGAGTTGCCTTTGCTTCATTTACGCGCTCTTCTAATCAGAGCAATTCGTGCCCCCTTCCCCGAAACAAATATCAACTGCCACGCCCCGCCGCCCTTTGTGGTTAAAACTTTGGCAATATTCCGGCTAACCTTAAAGGAAATAAAGCAACCACCGACGTCAACGCAAAAGTCGCAACAGTTGCTGTTCTCCGCCTCCACACACCCTCTCCCTTTCTTTCTGTCACCCCTCAAACTCTCGATATGCTTATATTAACATTAAGCCACGCCCCTGCCGCCCACCGTTTTACTTTTGTATGTATGAGCGCAGCCGTCGTCCAATATGTTCTTCCGCTGGGCGAAATAAATTCCATCTGAGGCTTTAATTGCATTAAGCGGCGAATGCTAATGTGACATGCTGTTAATGTCTTTCTGTTAATGTTAATTAACATTTACGGATCATTTCGTCGGCTGTTAAATGTGTAGTTAACGCGCTTAATGTGCTTATTAAGCGATTATCAGAATTGTCGGTATGGAAATAATTCATATAAATGGAATCCGATTGACTGCCACTAGAGGTCAAGTTGGAAGGTCAAGCTTGGAGTAGTCTCGCGACTCTGTTAGATTTCTGATTTGAGTATGAAGAGCTGATCGAAAGAATGAATGTTAAATCATTTCATCTCAAGAGAAAGTGTTTGATCTCCAGTTATTGTGGTCCTCTCTTCCACTATTCTCTTCCTCTTTCTGCTCTTCTCTCTTTCCACCGTAATTTCGACTCTTCTGTTTCCTCGATGAAAGACAGGTCTATTCTACTCTCTGTGAACTTGCTTAAAGATGTTTTTTTTTTTTTTTTTTGTTAATAACTTTTTGTGTAGAATGTATCAAGGAACCTAAAACTTTGAATAAAGCGCAAGAACTAACTCACTTTAGATAAACCTTTCGCAGTGCTCTCATCACATTCGGCTTCTTCCAGACTTTTCTTATCATTCAACTGAAAGTCATTTGGAAAAGTTGGAAACAAAAGTTTCAAAGGTTTCTTGGCTAGGGAGTTATTAAATTTGTTCCTCAAATATTTAAGTCCATTTAAGAGGCGACAGCTCGAAATGTTTTATTCAAGACAAAGAGCGGGCAGGAGGACGGCTAGCGGTAGGGAGAGGGATAGGGAGAGTGCGGGGCTGGGATTTCATTACATGTTTTGTGCTTATGCTTATCCTGTTCGCAGCAATTGTTTCTGTTCGCAACGTCTGCATAATACATAGAAGTAGAAGAAGCAGCCGAAAGGAGCGAAAGGAATACCCCTAACCACATTGAAACATGTTGTCCTTTCGCCAGGAATATTCTCGGCAACGCTCTGCCAATGCTGATGAGCTTATGCGTGAGGCCAGCGAGACAGAGAGGGAGAGTGTGTGTGAGATGGAGAGAGACAAAGTCAATTGTTGGCATTCGCGAAATGTTTTTAGCTTTAGCTCTGGCTTTGGCTAACTCCTTGGCGAAACGTGATTAAGATTCGAAACACAAGCAGCGTGCGGCATGTGCGGCATCTAATTCATGCATAGCCATGGCTGGGCGAATATAGTATAGCCCAGGCGGATGCTGGGCACTGGGGGCGGATACGCGACTAGCGAATACCTCGGACTGTGAACAGCAGTAGCTGAGATTAACTAAATGTATCCCAGTTTGACAAAACATAGAATGTAGTATAGTCTTCGGAAATGGATTCTCTGTTATCGATATTGATATCGAAGTCTGAAGATTTGCATCTGTCTTAGGAAATATTCATAATATTTCATATACGTAATTATATATTTTAAGCATCAATAATCCTTTACATCACTAGATATGCCCTAAAGCCAATAATAGCTAAATCGATATTTATCGATATATTAGTCTGCTTATCGAGTACACAGAGCTTGCCAATGAAATTTATTTCACGCATCAGCTATCGAACTAATATAGCCCGCTTTACGCACTCTCCACGGACTACTGGGTATAAAATGGAAAACGCATTTCCCCAGACAATAGCACAGCATGCAGATGTCTATATATCTGTATCTGTATCTGTATCTGTATCTGTGTCTAGTGAAAACTTTTGCTGTTGCTCGAGGCAATAAAATTTTAGATGTGCTTTTTGCACTTCCTGTTGAACAATGCGAAAGTCGAAACAGTTTCCCTTGATGCCAGAGAGACGGCCCGAGAGAATGAGAGAGAGAGAGAGAGTGAGGGAGGGTGGAGAAATGAGAACTTTTCTTCTGACTGCTTCGCTTGCTGATTGCAATTTGTGTTTCTTGCTCTTCTGCTTTTACAGTCCTTTCCATTCGTAACACGCAAGAGGAGGAGCCACCAGATCCACAGTTGATGCGCCTGGACAACATGCTCATCGCCGAGGGCGTGGCTGGTCCCGAGAAGGGTGGCGGTGGAGCTGCTGCCGCCTCAGCTGCGGCCGCCAGCCAAGGCGGCTCCCTGTCCATCGATGGAGCGGACAATGCCATCGAACATTCGGACTATCGAGCCAAGTTGGCACAAATTCGTCAGATCTATCACCAGGAGCTGGAGAAGTACGAACAGGCATGCAACGAGTTCACCACACACGTCATGAATCTGCTGCGCGAACAGAGCCGCACCAGGTAAGAGAGAAAGGGAGAGAGTTAAGCTAAGCGTTATCGATAAACTTATTGAACGAGTGCTCAATGGATGGAGAAGAGCTTAAGTAAGATTAGAGAATGGGAATAGAGCTGCTGCTAAAGTTATACATCAACTATAAGAGAGAGAGAGAGAGAGAGAGAGAAAGAGACAGACGTACTTAGATAACCAGTTTATCATTATCGATAATCATTAATCGATCATTTACTAGAAGGGGGAGAAGAGCAGGAGAGAAATCTATTCGATGCTTTACAGTTAAGCGAAGAAAAAGAGAGAGAGAGATACATAATGAGCCACTTATCGATAGTCAATAATCGATCTTTAAACAGCAAAAAGCTTGATTAATATTTGCCTTGGCATTCATTCTTCCGTCTCGCTCATCAGGCCCATCACACCCAAAGAAATCGAGCGCATGGTCCAGATCATCCACAAGAAGTTCAGCTCCATCCAAATGCAGCTGAAGCAATCGACCTGCGAGGCGGTGATGATACTGCGATCGCGTTTCCTCGACGCCCGCCGCAAGCGACGCAACTTCAGCAAACAGGCATCGGAGATACTGAACGAGTATTTCTACAGTCACTTGAGCAATCCGTATCCATCCGAAGAGGCCAAGGAGGAGTTGGCGCGCAAGTGTGGCATAACAGTAAGTCGAATCGGGGCGGATCCCCGCTGATCGGTGATGACTATCGATATTTATCGCTGACTGCTTGCAGGTCTCACAAGTATCGAATTGGTTCGGCAACAAGCGCATTCGCTATAAGAAGAACATTGGCAAGGCCCAAGAGGAGGCCAATCTGTATGCAGCCAAAAAGGCGGCAGGCGCCTCGCCCTATTCAATGGCTGGGCCACCGAGCGGCACAACAACGCCAATGATGTCGCCAGCACCGCCACAGGACTCGATGGGCTATCCGATGGGCGGCTCCGGTGGCTACGATCAGCAGCAGCCGTACGACAATAGCATGGGCGGCTACGATCCCAATCTGCATCAGGATCTAAGTCCTTGAGGATAGGCGGGCCAAAGCTAAACAACAACAAGAACAGCAAGCAAAACAACTAACATCAAACAATTCATTAAGCTCTTAAGTTTTTTTTTCTGTAATGGCAATGTGTGTGTGTGTATGTATGTGTAATAGGTGTGTGCGTGCACACATGTGTGTGTGTGTGTGTGTGTGTGTGTGTGTGTATCATACAATCAAATAAGTATACGATTATGTCTTAATTTAGAAAGAGAAGTGAAACAAAGTTTTGGGCAATGCCTGAGATTTTGTTATCTAACAACAACAATACGCACAGGCACTGCATATAAATATGAATAACAAAATATATATATATATATATATGTGCATGCACACACACTCACGTTGGATCTATAATCGTATATACCTATATACATGAATTAAATCTTTTGCGTTGCAATATCAAATTAATTAATAAAACGTAAACTTTTTAAATTTTCACTTTTTTTTTTTTAATTTTGTATGCGCTTAGCTTAAGTAAATTAGAATGAAGAAAAGAAGAGCAAACTTTATATTCAAAATTGCAAACAAAAATATTATAATTTTTTTTTAGCTTTTTTTGTAAACCTCAAATACGTAAAAAAGCGAAAACTTTCGACTAGGCATTAGTTTACAAAATAGTTTATATATATATTTTTTGTCGTAGTTTTTAAGCTGCAAACAAAACAATTTGTATACTAAAAAATACTAAAAAAGAACGCATGTATACTACAAAATACGAACTATATATATACACATCTATATATATATATATCTATATATAAATAACACTATACAGCAAGAAGAAGAACAAATGTATACTAGAACGAAACTCCCATTTATCAAGCCTAACAAAAATACTAAGAAAAATTACTTAAAGAAAATACTAAAACATATAACTACAATTTGTATACCAGTTTACTGCTGTTATCACACTCGTATAACAGTCCAAAACACAAATAACAATTGTCAAAACACAAAGTATTACGAAAATCTTTAACAAAAAATACAAATTTTTTATTAAATATTTATGGCAAAATTTATAACAAACAAAAATCATGTATACGATGTAAATCAAATTTAGAACTCAACCATTTTTTTTTTTTAATTTTCATTTTGGTTTTGTCAAAAACTTTTTGTTGTACGCAAAAAAGAAAAAAAAAATGAAAAGAAAAATGAACAAAAAAAAAAATATTAATAAATAAATTACTTCCTCTTAGTATTTGCTGGAAAAAGTATTGTAAACAAACAAAATAAAAAATAAAAATAAAAAAATTGTCAGCTAACTGTTAAAGCAAACAGTTCGATACGTATATATATATTTCTATATATATGTATATGAAATAATACTATAATTATTTTTAAAAATAAATACAACAAATGAACAACAATGCTATATTAAAATTAAATAAACAAAAAACAAAAACAAATTTGACTAAATTTTTAATTTATTTAATGGAGTTTTTAAATTCCAGGGGGAGATTGGGTAGAGTTATTCAAATTCCTGGAACCGAGCGAACACACAGGCTTGGCTAGATGGACACAGCTCGCCGTACTGATCAAGAATAGACGTGCCTTCTGGGTGGGGTCTGTCACTCCCATCTACAAAACCAATATACTCAACTACGCCCACTCTTAAGGGGTCAATCTAACAGATATAGATAAAGATATTCCAACAATTAGTTTTAAAGATATTTGGTTTGATTTTTATTAAATTTGTTGTTCAACAATTAAGCTAGATGAGAAAAGAAATGTAAATTGAATTTCTTTATCGACACAGAGATGCAATTGGAATAAAAAAAAAAAAAAAAAAAAATACATAACTATATATATATATACACAAAGGTTTATGTAGGTTTTACTTTTACATACACATATACATGCATATATGGATATATGTATATTCTCTCTCTCTCTCTGTCTGTCTCTCTCTATACATATATATAGTACATGTATCAGAACATATAGTATCACATTGTACGATTATTTGCAGCGAGTCGGGGAGCAGCATCTGTTTAAGGAGCCTTGCGCCTGCCTGGGCACATGCTCCAAATTGTGACTGGTTGATCGGAATTGGGTTGGGCACGCGTCTGGGTGTTGGGAGTGCCCTGACGGGCCGCGTCTCATTCGGACTTGGCCTTGACGTCGTCGCTGGCATTGCAATTGCGGCAGTCGGAGCTAGAGCTGGTGCTGCGAATGCTGCTTCTGTTGCTCTCCCGGCGATTCTCGCATTGGCCATTCGGCGGCATCGCCTCGTCCTCGTTGAGGGCATCCGAGATGGCGCTGCTGATGTTGTTGCCGCTGTGCTGCGATCCGCTCGGCACACAGGCACAGGCATCGCACACGCGCACATCCGTCTGCCAGCCGCGCTCCAGCACGGGCATGCGGCGCTTCGAGCAGTTGCTGCAAACCGCCTGGCCGCAGCGTCGGCAATGGTGACGTCTGCAGTCACCAGGTCCATCTGCTCCTGCCCCTGCAGCTCCAACTCTTGGTCCGCTTCCTCCATTGCTGCTGCTGCCCCTGGCATCTGTTTTGCTGTTGCTGCTGCCCTTTGGCTTGCCGCGTTCGCTCGAGTTCTTGGCTAGCTCGAGCTCCTCGGCGCGTCCAAAAACGGATTTGCATATGAAACAACTGGGCGATTCCGCATCAGGCACCCAATAGGCAGGACGTGCGCTGTCCTTGATCATAGCTGCGGAGCGACAGAGGACGATTAGCCGAGAGACTTCTTCTGATTGACTTGACCTACCTTTGGGATAGTCTATGGCCACGGCTGCAACGCTGCTGATCGTATTATAGATCGTCTCGCCATATTTCCGCACCAGAATGTCGCCTTCATCGTTCGTCGGACGAGAGCCTAAGACATGTTGATTACAATCAATGTTAAACATAAATTATGTGCTGGAGAAGGAGATAGATATACATAGAAAGACAAAGACCGAATGATGGCTGTGGAGATAGAACTATAGCCTCTAACTAAAGAGCGACCAAGCGAGAGGGAGGAATGGCTCTCTCCATATCACTAGAGAGAGCTTTGTTAATACAGATAGAGAAAGAGAGAGATATAGGCTATATAGAAGACCTAAAGTAGTAGAACTTAATTGCTCTGCCCCTGTCTCTCTGACCCTCTCTGTAGCTTCAGACCTTCTCCCAATAAAGAGAGAGAGAGAGAAATAGCTCTCTTTTTCACTCTCCCTCTCTCTCTCTCTCTATATGTATACGTACTTGCTCTCCCATAAATATACTACTATTCATAGCACTTCCTTTATCTCTCCCTCTCTCTCTCTCTCCCTGTCTATTTGTCTATTCTTTCAGTTCTCGCACATTCATTTCACTCCTTGGCTGATTTCTGCTTCGACTGTTTATCGATCTGATGCAGTTGGCTTACCTGGCGTCGCGTCCGACTTGCGCTGCAGCTGTTGATAGCAATCGTTGCAGACGCGCACGGGCTGCAGCCAGCCACGCCCCGGCACGGGCACCCTGTGCTGGCTGCACGTGTGGCAGAAGCCCTCGCCACAGCCGCGACAGTGATGTTTCGGCATGCCAGACTTCTCAAAGCTGCGCCTGCAGGCGTGGCACATCTGGCGGGAAGGGAAAATGAAGACATAAGTGAATGCCTAGACGTAGCAGATACCCTGTAGCCATCGATATTTATCGATCTAGAGAATTCATCGATTACTCTATACACTCCAGTTGCTTTCTTATGGCTACAGGGTATACGAGTGAAACTATATTCAGCGTACAATTATCTCCTGATTGGGCCGCCAATAGCTGGGCGCCACCTTGTCCGCCAGCATGCCGCTCAGTGCCTTCGCCCAGGGCGCCGAGATGTTGGTAAATGCCTCGCTGATGCTGTTGACGCTGTCGAGCACCATTTGGGCGGAGTGCGCATTAGCGCGCAGCACCGCATTGCCACCTTTCCAGACATGCACGACCTGCACACTGCAACGAGAGCGACGGAATCAGTGATCGACTCAGCTGGCTGTCGGAGAGCACTGTACTTACTGCACTACCGACGCCTCGGGTGACTTATTGCCGTACCAATATTGGCGCGCTCGATAGATCTCGCCGCAGTACGGGCACTCGATGACGTCGCCCTTCCACACGTATTTGGCCAGGCCCGACCAGGCGGTGTCCGTCTGCGCCTGCGCTCGCACGCTGACCACGATCTCCTTGCCATTGTTGTAGCAGGCCTTGCACAGGTACAGCTTGTTGCCGAACTGGTGCTGGTAGTTGCAAGGCTGCGTATTGAAGTGCGGCTCGCCGTCGCTCACGTGCCCCATCGAGCGCTGGCAGCGGCGGCTGCACGACTCGCAGTGGGCACCGCAGGTGAAGTATTGCTCCGGAAATGGATTTATTGCTTTTTCGATAATTTCGCCAGCGAACTTCTGATTCAGTAGTTTCATTGCCTTGAATACGACGGCGGGCTGCCGTGGCGATCGCACCGCCGTATTCTCTATCTCCAGATGCAGTGCATCGCTAATTTTTTTGAAATTCGTTGACTTATTTGCGTCCGTCTGGATGCCTACGTAGCGCAGGGAACTAAACGCGTTCGTCTCATAATTCAGCAGCGCGAAGTTGTTGCGCAGCTTGTCCTCGGCGCTCTCCTCGACGGCTGTGTGAATAGGGTGACAAAAGAGACCATTACAAAGGATTCTTCAGAAATTGAGCAGTCTAGTTAGATTCTTCCTATATAAATTATTATCTATATAAGCAATATTATATATTCCCTTGCTAGCCTCTAGCTTTTCTAACTTCCAGACAAATAGATATCGATAATTATCGATACATGCAATGGTACATACTGCTCTCCAGCGGCTTTGTGTAGTGAGTCTCATGGAATATGATCACAGCTGGTCCCAGAGTGCTGCCATTGCCCATGGCCTGCAGCGCCTGAGTGAAATGCAGGCAGAACGCCTTCGAGGCGGTGCCCAGAAACTCGTACATATCACTGTGCAAACGCTCCGAGCGTGTGCGATAAACCACAATATCCGAAATGGCTAAAATCTGTGGAAAACCAGAGAGCAAGCAGCTCAAGTGAAAAGTCGAAAGTGATCGATGAATCGAACATACCTTGAGTAGCATGCGCATGCGTTTGTTGCTTTTGGCCGTGGTGCCCAACAATCCTTCCGTGTCTAGGCAGAGGACACCCTGCTCCCGTTGCATAGCCGCATAGACGCCAATCGTGCAGGAGCTTTGCTCTGGCGATGTGCGAAACACGGGCTCGCCATCGAAAAATACCTGATTCATCGTATGCGATTTGCCATCTCCAGTGTTGCCAAATATTGAGATCACTTTGATTTTGTCCAGACTTTGACACTTCAACTTCTTGCAAAACAATTCCGGGGTCGCTATCTGCAGATTTTCGTCGGCATCGAGAAAGAGAAACGCTCGTGGTGTCGATCCGTTCTCATTATCGATCGAGTCGTGCTCATTTGTATTGATGAATGGTATCGATTTGAACTCGGCATCGTTTATCACATCCAATCGCAGAGCCTCGTCCTGCATATATGTGTTCGTGTGAGTATAAAAGTTGTTGAGCACAGCAGAATGAGTGAGAGAGAGCGCGAGAGAAAAAGAGAGAGGGAGAGAGAGAAAGTGAGCATGAATGTTAAGCGACTGAGTGAGTTTTTGCATTATGACGCGCACCTCTGTTATGGAAACTAGAAAGGCCATCGCTAAAGCCGAATTGCTGCGATTGAGTAAGCCTTTAAGCAGCTGTGTAAATTAATTGTTTTACAATTAACAGTTGGCCCAGCAGCTGGCTGAGCGCTGATTTTTATGACTCAGCGCAGCGCCTTGCGGACAGAGTTTGCTGCGACTACTCAAAAAGTGACGACGCAATTTAAAATAAATAAAAACAAATAAAAAATAAACGTCGAGCATTTCTTTTGTTATATTTGCCTGGAAGCATGTGCACCTGTGTGTATGTGTATACGTGGATTTGTGTGTGAATGAGTGTTAACAGAACTCTGTTACGTTAAAAGCTTC